TACAAGGAAGGGGTCAGGATGGAGGCCCACACAGCCCGTTCTGCTCTGGAGGACAGAGGACTGGCATCCTAAAGCCACTTGCCACCAGAAGAGGTTAAAGGGTCCCCTCAGAACCAGGCACTATGCTAAACCTTTCACGTGCCCCAAATCCTCCCCATCTTTGGGGTTCCCCGATACACCCCCATTTTGCAGAAAAGGCGAGGGGAGCTCCGTGGACAGGGCTTGCCCAAGGATAGCGCCAGAGTCCTGCCCACCTGGCCACCGAGGCCTCCTTCCGTCCCGGAGGCTGGTGCCAAGCAGTCCCCAGGCCGTTTCTGTCCCACACCCTGCACCTCACAGCCCTCCCCGATTTGGCTCCCTGGAGTCACGTGACCATGGATTACAGAGGAGCCAAACGGTGCTTAGAGAGGGTTAGTGACCTGCCCGAGGTCACAGACCCTGAGTAGGAAGGACCCTGCCCCAATCTCCAGAATATGGAGAGCTTTCCTGACAACAGACTTGAGGTTTCTTGCCCAGCTTAGTGTTAGAGTCTAACTGCGATTCCTCTTGCTGCTGCTCTGCTGAGCCCCCTGGAGACAGGAAGCAGCCTCCCATGTCCTACCCCCCGTACACAGGACCTGCGGGGAGGGCAGGCGCCACCTCCTGCCCCCAGGCCTTCCCTCTCCCGGAGGGCTTCGCCCTGGCTCCCTGGCTTCCCCAACAAGCTGGAAGAAAATAGGCCACACCTTCAAAAAAACACATGGTTGTGGGGCCCTCCGCACCCCAACTCCAAGATGGGGGCCTGGCTCAGCCTCCCGCCAAGGCAGCGTCTCATCCCCTCAGGTGGAGCAGAGTTGTGGGGAGGGAACGGTGATCAGAGAATATTCCTTATCCTGCGTGGGGGGGGCCTTTGCGGGACCCCTCCCAAAGCCCAAGAGACCCTAGAGCTCAACCAGTGACACCCAGCATCTCTAACCTGATTCCCGACCCCGGCAGGGGTCCCCTTCTCTGCTCTGGGGCGCAGAGGCCTTAGCTGCCGGCTAAGGACAACACTCGTCGCCTCTACAAGCTGCGTGTGCCGGGCACCGTGCCGGGCACCAGGAAAAAGGCCAAAGAGACTCAAGGTTGGCAGACAAGGTCAAGACAGGGCCTGGGCCGCCCCAGAGCAACAAGGAGGAGGCAGCCTCCTCGGAGCCCTGGCCAGAGGGTCCCTGAGGAGTACCATGAGCACCACGGGGGGAGGGGGAGGAAGAGAGTGTGGGTGGGGGTTTCTGTCTCCTGGGGGCGCTGACTGGGGCCCAGAAGCCTCGAAACAGATGCAGCTCGGCCAGCGGCCCTCCGGCTCGTTTTTTCGGTCTACCTGGCTGGTTACTGCCTGAGGGCAGGATGACATCTCTCTTGTCACATCTCTATAGCTGTGCCCGGGCAGTCAGTGACAGGTAGGTCAGGGCAGCCTAAAAATTAACAAGTACCAGGGGGGCGGGGGGGCGGGGGGGTGGGGGGCGGATGGCGGCGAATAAAACTGGATCCTGCTAAGATTCGGGCAAACTGAAGAGCCCAGCTTCCTGTATGTGTCCGGCACAGAGACCCTGCAGGGCCAGGGGGAGGCGCTCCTCGGGACCGGGGGGACCAGTGAACTCATCCACAAGATATACTGAAGGCCAGTTCATGATGAAGTAGAACTGTGTTGTCAAAACGACAATATTCATAACAATCACTCACATGCCTCCTCGCATCCTTGACAAGTGTTTGCCACGCGTCACGGGTGGCTCCTTGCCCTCTGCCACTTAGGAGGCTGTCCGTGAATTATCCTGTCGACGCCTATATACCCCAGGAGTCAGGCACCACGAGCACGCCCATTCTGCAGATGAGGAAACCGAGGCTCTGTTAAGTGAGCGGCCGGCCTGTCCCACAGTCCGGGCACACAGGGATGACGGCAGTCTCACCGACAAGGTGGGAGGAAGTGGGCCAGACCTCAAAAGGAGCCGCCTTTGGGCCACACTGGCTGCTGCTCTGAGCCTCCGCTGGGCGGGGGCTCCACCTCTCTGGAACCTCCTGTTGCTGCTGGATGCGACCCGTGCCGGGGAGGGGCAGGACTGGTTAGGTTACGATGCGCTGATGACTTACAACATCTCATCTGCAGAGGAGGGAGAATTCTGCCCGGAAGTGCTAAGCCCGAAAGACAGAGGGCCGCGGCCAAGCTGAGTCCAGGTGTGTCTAGCAAGGACCACACAGCTGGAGCTTTTAGACCGTCCCCTGCTTCCTCACACACACACAGGCCAGTGGGACAGCCTTTCCCAGAGGCAGGAGATCACCGCTGAGGGTGGGAGCCAGGACTGAGTCAGGCGACTCCCTCCAGGCTCGGACACCAGGTGATGCTGACATACGCCAGGCCCCCCGAACCAGCTGTGGGTCTTCAGCTGGGGCCCCTCGAAACCAAGATCTACAGGACAAAGACCTGTCAAGGAGGCACGTTCCTGGGCACGGACCAGATCTGAAGAATCAGAAGGCTGGGTGGGCCACCCGACCCAGACATCTTGGCATTTAACAAGCTCTCAGGGGATTCGGACATTCAAGACTTCCTCCTGCTCGCTCCTCTCCCGACCCCCTGCACACCGTCCCCTGAACAAGGAGCAGAGGCTCTGCTCCTCCGCAGAAGGAAGCCTGCCTGGGGCCACAGAACCAGCTGGAGGCTGTCTCTGTTCTTCCTGCCGGGAGGCCTCCCATTCAACAAATACCTGCGGACCTGGTCAGTGCCAACACAACCAAACAGACGAGGGCCTGCGCCAAGGGGGCTGGCGTCAGCAAGGGACACACGGGCGGCAGGGAACTCACCACCACACCACCCCTAATAAGGAGTCTAGGAAGGGAACCCGGCTCACTCTCTCCTGATAGAAACTATTCCCTGTCTCCAAAGGCCTTTAAAAATAGCCCAGCCCCGCACCCCCAGGCCAGTTCCTAACAGAGCCTTGTTGACTCAACTTCTCCCAAAGTTGATGGATGTGCCTAGAAGAAGGGGAGGAGGCCAAATGACTGCCAAGGCCCCTTCCCAGGCTGAAGCCACCACCGTGGCTCAGAGCAGTAACCAAAAAGGGACACATAGAAGAGAAGACCCCCCCCCCCCGCCCCCCGCTGCCCAACCAACTTCTAGGTGTGAGCACTGGACATAACTCTGGGAACAGACAGGCCTGGAGTTCAAGCCCTGACCCCGCCTCAGGGCTGGCCGTGGGATCCTGGGCCTGCCGTTCACCTGGGGGAACCATAGTTTCCCCATCTGTAAGTGGGATCGTAACAATGCCCCCCATGCCTAGGGCTGTTGCAAGGATTCTATGCGTTAACAGTGCAAAGAGCTCGACCTGTGCCGTGCCCAATGAGCAGAAAGCCTGGCTTCATTTGGCTCACAGGCGGCTCCCCTGCCCCACCAGGAGGGAGACCCCCGCTGCAGCCCAAGCCCAGGCCTCCCAGCAAAGCCCACCGTGCCCTCCGCCTCCCTGAGCACAGGAGCCCGGGGAGTGCCCCCTGCAGCCCGCCTGCTGACGGCATGGGCCACATCTGGACCGAGCCTGAAGGAAGGCCCAGCAAGCAAATCTCACAAAACAGCAGCCAAACAGGGAAGGCCCACCCACCCACCTTGGCGAGAGGGTTAAGGGCAGCAAGGAAGGAGCCCCTGGTCCTCGCTCCAGGCCTCACCCGTTCGTTCGAGGAGCGACTCCCAGGGTTACGAGCTCCCTGCTGCAGAATTCCACGGGGGAAGGGCCAGGACCTCTCAGCATACCAGCGCCCACTCAGGAAAGCCCCCTTTGTTCCAAGCACATGGGGGCCAGGGGCACGGGGCTGAAGCTTGGGCTTGGGCAGACCTGCAAATGTGCCCGGAAGACCCAGGGAGTGCATGTGCATAGAGGGGGCGGGGAGCAGGGGTTGTGCAATGCACCATCAGAACCTGCCTCCCAAGCCTCCATCCGCACACGGGGCTGGCAGTCAATCGGCTGACCCAGGGAGGGTGCACAGGGGCTGGGCTGGGCTCTGAATTCCAACCCAAGACCAGGGCCACAGCCCCCTTCCAAGTCACACGTACGGGCAGAAGCCCTACCAGAGGATGCGCTGTCCCTCGTCCCATCCCCCAAAAGGAAAATGGGTGGGCCAGGACCCAGTGCCATCAGCCCCTAGCCTGCCGAGCACTTCCCAGGAGGCTGCCGCAAGAGAGGAGTGTGGTCTGGAGAAACCGGAGGTGCGAGGGGCCTGTGGAGTTGGGGCGTGGGGCGTCGCGCTGGGGCAGACCTAGAGAATCTGACGCTGACAGACTGCCCCCAGGACGGCCCCCAGGGGGTTCAGTGATGAGATGACCAGATCACCCCCGGCTGCGTAAGCCCATTTCCCGGTGTGGCACACAGAGACAGAGGGGGAAGGCTGACGTGGGAGCCAGAGAAGTCAGCGCACAAATACAGCAGGGCGCCCGGGACCCTTGGCCGCCCCCGCTGCCACGAGTCTCTGACAAGTCTCGCCACCACCCCCGACACATTCACGATCGGGGCCAGGGAGGGGGCGACAGGCCATCCTCGCAGCAGCGGCGGCGGCGGCGGCGGCGGCGGCAGCAGTGGCATCGTGATGCATGAATCACCCGCCCGCCACGCTTGTGCCTGTCGGTTCCCCGCAGCCGGAACCACCTCGCAACTGGGCGCCCCCTGCCGGGACCACCGCCCCCGGCCCAGGAGCACCCCTGCCCGCTTCGACAGCGCCAGAGGGGGCTGCGGGTGCACTGGGGCTTTCCCTCCGGGCCAGGAGGTGGCCCCGCGCTCCCTGACAGATGACACACGCCCGGGCGTGGGGGCTAGATGCCCTAGAACAAAAGGGCTAGGTGTGCGGTTGGGGCCGCGGCGAAGGCAGGGCAGGAAACGACCGAGGGAGGGTTGCGGCGTTGACGGTGTGGGGAGCGGACCCGGAGCCAGGACGAAGGGTTTGGGGAGACGGGACGTGGGGGAGGGGGCTGGGGCGCTGGGCGGGGGTCCCGGGCGCGCACTCACAGTAGGTTTTCCTGGTCAGCTCCTCCACAACTTCGGGCTTCAACTTGCTGTTGGATTTCCCCATCCTCGGCGGCCGCGGCCCCCGCCCCCGGGCCGGACCCGGGCGGGACGCCCAGCGGGAGCGGCTCGGCGGGCGCGGGCCGGGGCGGCCGGGGCGGGGCGGGGCGCGCGGAGGCCGGCGGGCCGGGCTGGGCCGGGCCCGGGCCGCGCCTTTGTCTGAGCCGTGCCCGCGCGGCCCGGGCGCGGGGCTCCGGCGCGCTGCGCTGCGCGGCTGGCGGCGCCTCAGCCGCCCTGGGCGCGGCGCGGGGCCCGGGACGCGGGGCAGCCGCTGGGCAGGCCCGGCCGTCGGCCGCCGCCCTCTCTGAGCGCCGCGGCGCGAGCTGCGCTGGGCTAGGCGCCGGCGCGGCCGCGGTGTTGCCCGGTCGTCCCTGGTTACTGGGCTCCGCGGCACATGCTCGCTGCTGCGCTCCCTGCGCCGCCGCCCCTGCGCTCCCCGCCTCCCGCCTCCCGCCTCCCGCCTCCCGCCCGCACCAGCGCGCCAGGGGTGGACCCGGAGCCGCCACTCAGCGCCCGGCACCACCTCCCGCCCCGCACCCGCCCCACCGGGCCTGCGCCCGCGGAACCTCAGCTCCGTGAGCGCCAAGCCGAGGCGACCGAGGGGCTCCCCCTTGCCTCATCGCGTCCCGGGCCCGAAGCGGGAGGTGACCCCGCCACCCACCTTGAATCGGTCTCGAGCGCTCCAGAGGGCCCCCCTCCCGCCACACACACACCAAGGAGCGGGCCGGGCCCTGAAGATCTGGCGTGAATGAGGCCAAGTGTCTGCCTGGCGAAATTCATTCATTCGACACGGATTAGTTGGGCGCTGGGGACACAGCAGTGAACGGGACAGGAGAACGGGGGGTAGGGACGGGGGAGGGCACTGCTCTGCAGGATGTCACATATTACGGTGGGGGCACATACCACAGCCTCGGAGAAGGTGACCTCCAAGCCCCGGGGGAGGGAGGTGGGTGGTTGGGAAACTGACCAAGGTCCAGAAAACCTGGAGAAGGGAAGGGGGCCTGGGCCCAAAGGGAGAGCTTCCCTTGCAGGGAGCTCCAGGGACAGGGAGTAGCATCTGAGGCCAGAGAGAAGCTGGAGGGCCGTGGGGGGGGGGGAACGACAGGCCTCCCCCCTCCCCTCGGAGTGGGGCCTCTGGGATTACAGATGGGAGGTGCCAGGGTCAGATCTGCCTTCTCTGCTGCTCTGGCCTCCGGCTGGCGTGTGCAAGCAGCAGGCGTTGGGCAGGGGTTGAGGCCAGGCCTGCGGCGTGGCCGGGGCTCCCGCTGGATGCACTGAGGCCAGTGGGTTAGGGGGGTGGGCAGCGGGCCAGGGAAAGAGCCTGCCAGGCCTCCCTGGCCACCCCGTCCACAGCGTCGGAACCCTGCGACTTTTCCTAGTCCTCCCAGCTGTAACGTTTTGGTCCTTAGCAATTCTCACAGGCTTCACGTGTTTCATTCCTTGTGCTCTTGGGTCTCCTCCACCAGAGCAGGAGCCCCCTGAGTGCACGGGGGCTCGTCTCAGTTGCAGTCGTATCCCCGGCTCCTACAGGGCACCTGCCTCGCAGTGGCCACTCCACAAACCTCGCGAATGAGGAGGGAAGGACAGTGCAGGGGGCTCGAGAGCGGCCGGAGCGCGGGCGGATGGGGCAGCGGTCAGGTGCGGACGGGGGCTCTCTGCTCTGTGGCCCAGTGTTCAGCCCCCGGGGCTCAGGACGCACAGAGGAGCTGTGCCAGGAGTGGTTCCCAGCCCCCAAACGCCACCCCCGGCCTCCACGCGTGCTCCCTCCTAGCTTTCCCCAGGCCCCAGGGGCCCTCTGGTGAGGGAGCACCTGCCGCCCTGCCAGAGCTCACTCTAGAAAGGGCGTTGCGGGGCAGGGGTGGGGGGTGGGGTACGGGCCCCAAGAACTGGGGCCGGGCCACAGCTGCAGGGACCTCGTTTCCACTTGGGAACAGGACTTCCCAGGTGCAGGGATACTGACTCAGAATGGACACCAGTGTGGGACCCACGGTGAGGGGCTCCGAGTTGGCCAGGCCAGCCTGAGCATCCTGCCTGGGAGTGGGGGACCCTGCACGGGGACCTGTCAGGAGGACAGTGACAGCTGTAGCATTAAAGACCGATAGCCATCCAGGGGCTCCGGAGCATTTCCCTCCCTGCCCAGGTGCCAGGCGCGGCCATGGCCACCGTGGTCCATGTCCTCTGGCAGCTCACGGACCTCCCCGCTGCCCCGCGGCCTGCCTCACAGGGGTGACAACTCCGCAAGGGGAACAGAGAGGGCCCTGGGGGGGGGGCGGGCAGAGCAACGCCTGGTGGGGGGAGTCAGGGCGGCTCCCGGGGGCTGCCATGGAGGTTACGATTTATCCAGGGGAGAGCGACGTAACAATGAACAAAATGCATGAGTCAATATACAATGTCAGAGGTGAAAACCTTAAAATAAGGCAGGGGAGGGGAGGAGGGTGGGGAGCGGGAGAGTTTGACCCACAGGAGATGCCCCCTGAGAAGGCGCCAGTTTGAACGAGGACCTGAAGAAGGCTGTGCCGAAGGCTCCCTCAGGCCGCCTTCTCTCCTGCCTCGTCTCTCTGTCCCCCCGGGCGCCGCCCAGGCCCGCAGGGTCCTGCAGGGACCCTCCACACTTGTGCACACGTGGCCGCTGAAAGGTGACCCGCGGGCCGTAAGCGTAAGATACACATCGGACTTCGAAGGGTTGAACAAAGAGAATAAAATGTAGCTCATTAATATTTTTAAAAACGTGATTACATATTACACGGATGGTTTCTGATATAGAGGAGCTATATTATGAAAATGTAGTCCACTTGTTTCTCTTAATATTTTTAACTGCCCACTGAAAATTTTAAATGACACGTGTGGTTCGCATTGTATTTCTGTGGGACAGCACTGTCTTGGACGAGTTTTAAGTCTCCATTTAAACCTCACCTCCGCAGCGCCTTCCCAGTCCCCCAGGTGAGCTCAAGGCCCGGTGTTTGCACCTGTCCACGTAGCGCCCAGACCCGGGGTTTTGCAGGATTTTATGTGATTTAAGGACTTCCTCAGACAGAGCTTCTTAAGTCACTTAAGGAAGGAGGGTGTGTCCAGGGGCTAGGGGCGAGGCAGGGCGGGTGCTAGCCCAGTTGAGGGGCGTGGGAGAGCAGCGGGGGGCCCACTGAGCCCCCAGCTCAGAGCGCGAGGCCCTGAGGCCCAGGTTTAGTGCCGGGGCTGCCCTCATGCACCTTGTGGCTTTTGGCAAATCGCTTCCCATCTTCTCATGGGGAGGGTTTGTAAAGATAAAAACTACTTTGCTCAAGCCCATGACAGAGTTACTATCTTTAACCTATTAAGAACTTTCTCACCCTGGCTGGTGTGGCTCAGTGCATTGAGTGCCGGCCTGCAAACCAAAGGGTCGCCGGTTCAATTCCCAGTCAGGGCACATGCCTGGATTACGGGCCAGGACCCCAGTGCGGGGCACGCGAGAGGCAACTGCATGCCAATGTTTCTCTGCTTCCCCTTCTCCCTCCTTTCCCCTCTCTAAAAAGAAATAAATAAAAATCTTTAATTAAAAAAGAAAGACAGCTCATAAGAAAAAGATGAGTGCTTCATAGAAAGTTGGGACAAGAACCTGAATAGGTAACACAAAAGCAAATGCCAGCCACCAGTCCACAGGAGAGATGCTCCTTATAAGTTGAAGAAGCACAGAACCAACGGGGGGAAAAATTACAGAGCTAATGGTAATACCCAGTATTGGCAAAGGAGCGAGAAGACGGGGCGTCCCGACTGCCGGGCAGGGCGCTTTCAGTGCAACCTTTCCGAAGAGCAGTTTGCCAGTGAATGTCCATATTCTCTGACTCAGCAATTCCACTTCTAGGAAACTATCCTAAGCCAACACTTGGAGATCTGTACAAATGTCAAGGCTCAGCGACGTTACTGCAGCAGCCTTTAAAACAGCAACGAAAAAGTGCAAGCGACCTACATATCCGGAATCAGGGGCGAGGCTTTCGTACCGCGGCGTCCTGGACAGCGGCAGGAAATGCTAGCGCGCTGGGAGCCGGTTCCCACACACACCTCTGCGCACGGCCCGGGGCGCACAGAAGGGTTTCAAAAACCTGCAGAGCCATCCCAGTTGTGTGAGGGGGGGAATCTGGGCACATCACTGCGTATTTTCATTGTAATTTTTAAAATTTTTTTCTTCAAATCAAAAAGATGGTCAAAATATATGTTTCAGTGTCTCCTAAAGAAGAAAACAGGTCCCTGTGGTTTACATGCCCCGTGGGAAGACAGGCTCCCGGGTCCCGTGCTTTCGGGGATCGTTGCCCACGATCGCCACTCTTTCCAAGAGCCACAGCGCACACGCGCATTGATTCATATTCACGCAAAGGCTCTGAGATTTTCTGCAAGAAAAATCTGTTTTAAGTAAGCATTATTCAAGTAAAAAAAAAGCCATTAACTTGTGTTTTCTTAACTCCAGTCAGCATCTGAAGGGCCAGTGTCCTGTGGAAGAAGCGCCCACAGGGAACCCACTGATTTATGAGCTCCACTCCCCTCGGGAAATGACTCAAGGAGGTGAGAGCATTTCCTCCAGGCAAGGGGGACCCCTGGCCCTGATGAGGGCTGAGGGGACACAGGCGAGGCAGCTCGCCCTCAGGGAGCATATGCACAGGGTGAACGTAGCTGGGAGGCCCCCGGCGATCAGCTCCTTCGCTGTCCCAGACATCCTTCCCCACTGAAAGCTGGGTCACCACGTGCTGCAGGCAGCTCAGCCGCTGAGCCTGTCTGCACAACACTCTTCATCAGCCTGCCCTGGGCGGGGACCTGGAGTGTTGGGGGGGATCCCAGGTGACCACGGGCTCGGCCGGCACCCGGATGCCACCTGGAGCTCAGCGCACTCCTAGGGAGAACTCTCTGGGCTTTCCCACCCGCCCGGCCTGCCGGCGGCAGGCTGCACCGCTCACCCCAAGTCAGTGCCTGCCCACTCAGGGCGCACGGTGACCGGCAGGACAGGGCTGGTGGGGGGCCAGGAGCTGGTCTTCCATCCACAGCAGAGCCGCCCACCCCTCCCCAGACCCCCTGGCCAGCCTCGCCTC